TGAAAATCAGACACAAGGTCATAAAAAAAAGGGGAACAAAACAGTAGAAAAAAGTTTCACATAAGCAAAAAGAGTGGAGAAAGTTCAGGAAGAAGAGGGTCCTCAGTGAGCACTATGAGCATCTCAGTGCAGATGCTGAGAAGTATGTGACCGAAAACCCACTCCCTGAGCAACTGGCTTCCAGTGCCCTCCTTCTGAAGAAAAAGAAAAAAACTCACGGAAATTATTTTTCCATTTATATTCTTTCCATAGGAAGTATGTGGTTTTAAAAAGCAGTTAAATACTTTTCATTACAGAAAACAGTGAATCTGGCCAACAGATCAAATCATGGAAAGATTGCCTCTATAGCAGATTACATGCAGGACACTTAAAAGCAGCAGCCTGCAAAAGACAAAACTCAACAGAAAATTACTGTCCATGTAAAATGGAGAGAAAAGAAGAAAAACATTTTACTGGCCCTGGTTCCTATTTTTGCTGTAAGCAGTGTTATCACAGTACCACTTCCCCTTTTTTATATCTCCTCTCTAGACTCAACTTCTCCAAAACTAAATTGGGAAAAACCATAGTTATCAGAATTGGTCAAAGCAGCTCACACCTCACTGTAATAACAAAAAGAAGAAAATGCTGTCCAGTCCCATGCTATTCTGTGATTGGCTGCAGACTGAATCACTGTGATCTCTACAATTTTTCACTGGCTCATTTTAGGAAGTCAGGACTTTCTTCCGCATCTTAATTTGAAAGCTCTGCTGAAGTTCAGCATGAGAACAAGAAGAAAGCTTCCACTGGTGAATGTGTTCGCTGGAAGTCAAATCTCCCTTTTGGAAGAATATGACACTGAACCAACAATGCTCCACACTTCTATTACCTCCAAATAAAATTAACCAAGTATTTAAATATTTAAAGCAACGAGTGCATTCACATGCTATACATCTTCCAAATGCTATCAGCTGCCCCACTGAGGAAAGGAAGTGTCCGGGGAGGGTCAGTGAGAATTAATTTCACATGGAAAAAGAAATGTGGATGCTGCAGGCTGTCTTTTACACAAGACGGCAGCCTGGTGGCTGTGTCTCTGGTACAGACCACTGGGCCTGGACTCAGGAGATCCAGGCTGCACTCAATCTCTGACTGCCTTCGTCCTCAGCATCAGAAGCTCCCCAGGGGCAGAGTAGAGAATGACCTTCACCTCATCTACATTTTACCCCTTTTTATCCTTTGAATATATACAATGTTATTAAAGCGCTGCTAAATAGAATTACTTCTCTAAAAAAGCCAGTCACATTAGGGAAGAGCTCATAATCCTGAATTTCTAAGCAACTGCTTTAGGAAATAGGACTGTGTTCATTATTTTTAAAGCTGAGTGATGAAATAAGATTAATGGATAAGGCAAGCATTTTACAAGACGTGGGAATTAGAAACCAGTAGGCCTAGTTTTGATGTGTTTGATTCTAGCCATGGAATCTCTCAAGATCAGCTCCTCCTTCATCTCCAGAGGTACACAAAACTGCCTGGCAATTCCTACCTACTGGTGCCACTGAGCAGCTGGGAGCTAATGCACAGAATACAAATCCACTATTCCACAGCAACCAGATTCAAAAGCAGTGTGGAGAGCAGGCCCCCTAGTGTGCAAAACTCTTTTCTCAGAGAATAAGCTTAAATATCATGCAGACTGCTTTTATCATCAATTCTTTACAAGGAAAAAAAAGCAGCCCAGGTGGTAATTTCATAAGATGACTTCCTAACATACTTTGAAGCAACTATTATTACAGTTCCATCAGGACAAGATTAACAGCTTTTTTTCTAGTCAACTTTTAGACCCTGTAGTGACACTAACGATACAGGTGAATCACAAAACACATAACCTCAGAGAACTCATTCTGTAAATTAGAGGACAGATGCATAAATAAGCAATTACAACAAAGTGAACTGCTATTAGATCATGCAAGTACCAGCTATGTGTGCTGTTTTTCATGCTTTCACAGAGTCAGACAAATAGTTCAATTGATCCTCACAGCAGTAAGACAGGCAAGGAGGTATGAGCACTGACTACTGGTCAAGTAAGAGCTGAGTCACCCATTTAAGAAAATGGCACGCCTATAATTTAAGAAGGGAGGTCCTAGAGGGACAGGGTTGAAGGTGCTGGAGGCACAGGGTTGAAGGTGTCCTGGGGGCACAGGGTTGAAGGAAAGGATGTAATGGTTTGTTCCCACAAACACTTATGACCTAGAGATCAATGGGACAGTTGTAGCCTATCTCACAGAGCTGCTATGGTTCACAATCGACCTGGTGGCAGCAAGTACACCAAAATCCAAATGTGACTCTTGACTTTGGTCCTGTGTGGGAGCTTTACTCTTTATGGCACTGGTTAGATGGAACTGTTCTATAGCCATGGAAAGTCAAGGTCTCTTCTGGTACATACTCAAGTGTAGATTTTTCTTTATTTATATGTATTTGTATAAATTGAAAGGAAATACCGATTTCTCCAGTTGTACATTGCCTTTGATGGAGCTCAAATGTTAAAGCCAAAGTTGAGTGAGTGGTGATGAAGGTGCAGAGGTAGTGGAAAGGGGAGGAAAGAAACAGATGGCACAAAGTGATAGAATATTTCTAATACAAGTAATTTTAAAAGCCCATCTTATGAATGATAAAGCCTATAGCTCTTGTTGCCTCCTTCCTGAATTCATAAAGCACTTTTATAAGTTATAAACTTAAAACAAGACATAAATTTCTTTGAATCCATGGGTAGTACACATGGTCAAGACACTTGGTTACCATCCAAAAGGCTGAAAGTTCAATTTCACTCAAAAGTGGTTTGGAAGAAATGTGTTGACAATGTATTCCATAAAATCAGGCACTGAAAATCCTATGGAATGGGCTTCTATGCTATCATACATGAGGTTAAAAGGTCAAATTGAGGGCAACTGGTTTTTAAATTCTTTAATGCCAATAGCTCTTAAATGCCAACAAATGTAAATATACAGATTGGTTGTCATTTTGATACCACTAATTACCAATGTTTTTGTATTCTGATACTCAAAATTCTGCTGGGGAACATGCCTATTCATTTACACAAGATTATACATGAATAGGGGTTACAAATTCATAGTTTGGTCTGCTAGCTCAGAAGAATCAGATTGCGCCTAAACTCTGACAGGCAAGTTATCAGTGTTAAAATATCTAATTTTAAATATTCCAGAAGCATTCTAACAACTTTCAAGGATATCCCTGTGGTCTTCAGTTTGAGAAACACTGTTACAGTGGACACAGCAAGACTGTGTGATTGAGATAAGAGGGTAAATGACAAGGAGTGGGTTAAATCTAAGTTTTCCTTTCCTCAACCTTTTATAACGCTGCTTGCTGTAAGAGTTAAAAAAAATGAGGAAGAACAAAGTTGTTGGTTAAGTGCTACTGAGTCAACTACAACACAGAGACACTATGCACAATAGTTCTTAACCTGCTATCATGAGCCAATCTCACTGCCTCTGACACAACTACCCTCAGTACTTTGTCAATCCATCTTATCCAAGGTCTTCCTCTCTTGGGCTGTTCCTCTACTTCTGCAAGCATGATGTCCTTCCCCAAGTACTGGTTCCTCCTTACAAAATGCACAAAGTATATGAGATGGAGCCTCAAAATCCTATCCTCTAAGGAGAAACCTGGTTTCATCTTCTCCAGAAAAGACCTGTTAGTTCTCTTGGCAGTCCATGGTATGTTCAATACTCCTCTCCGGCATCTTAGGTCACGGTCCAGCTCTCTGACACAAACAAGTAATGGCCTGAACTGTGTGTACCTTAATCTCTAGCCTGACACTGTTGCTCTTCAGCACTTTGGAGAAGTCCCTGAAAGCATATTTTCCTAATGCAATTTGTCTTTGATTTCTTGATTGCTGGTTCCAAGAGTACTGATTGTGGAACCAAGCAAGATGAAATTGTTAAAAATCTCTTCTCCATATTATCATGGTATTGTCAACTTGCCCAGTGGTGAGAATCTTAATTTTCTTGATGTTGAGCTCTAACCCACACTGAAGACTATAGTCCTTGGCCTTCTGCAGCAATTGCTTGGCTCTGGCTCTGGCCGGTGGGAATAAGTAGTTTCAGGATTGCATCATCTCATGCTGGCTCTCTGCTTCCTCCAAGGCTGTAGGTCCACTAGGCCCTCTCACTTGCGTTTTTCCTCATAGGGAAGGTCCTCCTTCTGCTGCTGAATCCACTCAATTTAATGGCAAGACTAACCAATCCTCTTAGGGACTGGAGAGCCTAGTCAATTTCCTTATGGATAGGCTAACATGCCCAATTTGCATACTCCTGCCCATCCAAATGGCAAAGTCAAATTCAGCGCCAGAAAAATAATTTTGAACACTAAACTTTACACACTATAAAGTCTTATAGAGCAGTTGCACTGTACGCTAAAAGTCAAAACCAACTGCACAATAATAATAGGCTAAACAAATGCTATACTTTAAATAAGCTACTTGCAAATACGCAGCAAAAGGTGACCAAGTTCAGATTCCTATCTTCAACAATCAAAATGGAGGTTTTATAATAGAAAAATCATGCACAGACTTCAACTGACACATATGGTTTTGTTTAAAATGAAGGATTAATAAAAGCATAAAAAACAAGCAGCTGTGTGGGGCAAATGGGTACAAGAAGAATGTGTGAAACAAAGCAATGTCCAAGACCTGTGGCCAAAAGGTAAAGTACTTGTTCACATCTTGCTACAGAAATGCTTGAGACATTCTCACACTGTCTTTCCTATCTATTTATCAGTGGTCTGTTTGGGCAAAGATAAGGCTGTGCAGCAGGAAAATGCCATGCCCGTCCTCAGGCTTGCTTTCCACTCTTTATCTTTGCTGACTTATTAATACACATTAAAAAGAAGATCAGATTTTAAAGACTCAGAGTCCCCCAGTCAGAGCAGGCTATGTCCAACCCTCAGATTATATACTGCAATTTCTGCATTACAAACAGTACAGGAATGGTCACAACGGTTTACCTTTTGTGATCTGCTGCCACCAGCTGTTTGTTTGGAGAGCTCTGTAAGGTTTTCTTTCTGGAGACTTACAGGGGTTAACTTCTGAGCAGAAAGGCGGGGGCTGGTCCTGGTGGCCATGGTCGTTCTCCGCAGCACATACGGACTTGTCTTACCGGTTGGGATATCAGCAAAACCTGCAGGCAAAAAAGTTCACTGTTAGCAGGGGTAGATCTTAATGGAGGCCAGTCCAAATCTTTCCATAAATGATAACCAGGTAAAGTTTTAACAAAAAAATCACTTTCTTCTAATCACAGTGGATGATGGATTAATGTCACTGTTGCTCTCAGAATCATCAAACTGATAACTAACAAGTCTCCCTTCATGAAAAATGTAAGCAAGTACCATGGGAATGAAGCAAAACCTTTAAACAGGAGAGGAAAACAATTTTGCACTGCTTCTTTTTCCTACAGGTTTTGGTTGACTTTAGTTTTCTAAACTCTGAAGAATACCAGTATGCCCTATTTAAAACTGGGATTGAAAGGAATAAAATGGAAGAAAAATAAAAAAACAAGTCTGTAATTAAAAAGTGAGGATGGAGAATAGAACAGGTACTAAAGGACGCTGTCCACATAAGGTTTAAGGACCACCATCGCTTCAGAGACCAGGTTGAGGAGAGATATTCTTGTTAGGTGCTGGTGAGTAGATTAATCGTTCACAGTGACCCCACAAATAATAGATAAGAAATTTATCCTGCGCTATCTGCAACATCTCTGATATGCTTGATACATTCTATTGGATAATCCTTTTTGGGAATAGGAGCAAATATGGATCTCATCCAAATTTCTTGGCACAGACCAGTGAGCACATCCAGGGGTGCACATTTGTCGAAACAGGTCAACTAGTATTCCATCAATTCCTAGGACCACGTTTTTTTGGCAACACACTCAGTGCAGCTTAGACTTCCTTCTTCGTCGGCACTTGTTCTTGATCATTAGCTACTTCCTGAAATGGTTCAGTGTCAGTTATTTATGGTACAGTCATGAATGACCGTCTTCCCTTCATCTTGAGAAATGCTGAGCATGTTTTTCCTCTTTTTCTAACTCTAGCTCCTTGCGTATTTATATATACTTTGCTTTGTCACCTCGAGTTCTCCTTTGAAAATTTTTCATCTGTTTTACTACATCTTTTTGTTCTGACCTAAGTTCTACTCCAATTTTCTGAGTCTCTTCTGAGGTCCATTTTGTTTTCTTTCTTGTATGATAGCCTTGATGTCACCCTACAACTTATCTAATCATTAGTGTCAAAAGCATCAAATCTATTCCACGGATGGTTTCTAAACTCAGGTGAGACAGATTCAAAGTCAGACTTTACTAAGAGTCAATATACTCTTATAGTTCTGTCTCCTTTCATAAAGGAAAGTGTTATGACTTTTGTAACTGAGCAGAAATCTCAGGAATACTGCAAAACTGTATACATCACACAGACACCAGTGTAGTATGAAGAGCTAACCAAAGTAGTGATTTTTTAGCTCTGGGAAATTTGGAGAAAAACTGAAAACTCACAGTGGCCTAAATTAGCTACTATTACTAATCCACCAGGATCCATATCAATAACTAAGTCCTATTAAATTTACTTCCTAAATGTTCGTTTATTTAATCAGTACCTATTGACTGCCAAGTATGTAGAGAACTCTGGCGGCCTAAGGGTAAGGAGTTACACTGTCAACCCCAAGGCATAAAATTTGAATCCATCAGCTGCTGCTCCCAGGAGAAAGATGGGCAATTTCATCCCTTATAAATCTAAAGCTTCTGAAAATCTTCTGAAGGGGCAGCTATGAGTCTGTTCTGATCCAACAGTATATAGTAACAACTTAAACACACACAATACATACTCATAATTTTTTTTAAAAAGATAATTTTTTTAAAAAAAAGATAAAAATAAAAATGCTAAGTAATTCCAGCTAAGGAGCCAGCATCATCAGTACCATCCACAACTCACCTATCATCTAAATGCCAAGGTCAGATATGACTCAAGCTAGCAAAGATACAAGGGTGTACTTGACACGGGCCGTTTTCAAAATAGAAACATTAAATTGTAAACAGATACTTACACTTATATTTCAACTTTACCAATTCTTTTTATAGTATAACTTAAGTAGCTAGATCCTAGTTATTCTTACTGACAATAAAGGAATAAAAAAAATCATGTATACACACACATAAAAACATAAAACCAATTTATAAGTGAATTTTCTTTTAAAAATGTTGTGTAATAGCTGGAAAATACACACTCCTGTCTCTTTATACATGATTTAACTTTACATTCTGGAATTTCAAAATGGCCCAGTAATTTTATTTTTAAACGATACATACCTTTCTTTACGACCTCTGGCATCCCCTCTGGCACATACTCAGTGCCTTCTGTGTCCTCTGCAAACTGATTACCACTTCTGGTGGCTTTCCTTCTCTTTTTAGAGGAGGTTTCTGGTGTGGAAGGCGCTGATCTGCCACCATGCTCCTTACTTCCACTGGACCTCTGCCTCTTTCCTAAAGTCTTATTTTGGCCACCTGATAACATCATTTCAGCAACAGGCAGGACTGGAGATGATTCTGGAACAGCTGAACTTAGTAGGTTACATTTAGACTGCCGAGAACTCAGCCGGGCAACCTGTGTTTCTAACATCTCTTTAGCTTTCTCCAAACTGTCGTGGCTTATCAGCAGAGAACAGTATTTGTCCAAGCATTCATCTGCCTCCTTGGTTTTTTCTTTAAGAGTTTCCTTCAGTTCTTTAATCTGAGTCATTAATTCGTCTGCATTAACATCCACAACAGCACCTACCAAAAACAAAGTAATACAGCATCCATAAGTAACTTGATGCTTTTCTAGTAAACACTGATCACAGGAAAAAATATTAGCTCTGTTCATTGTTGGTTTATCTGAAGAGAAACGACCATATCATGGTACAAGGAGTCCTTGTGGCACAAGTTAAGAAACTGGCTTTTTGCCTCATGGTGAAAAGCTGCTCTCTAGCCCAAATCCACCAGCTGCTCCCTGGGAGCAAGATGGAAAATCTCATCCTGTGTGATTTCTAGTCTCTGAGTACCCACTGGAAGGTCAGCTCTGAGTGGGTTCCCGACTCAATGGTATGTAACAATAACTAACCAAAAGGATGGCAGTTCAAATTCCCCTACTGGTTCTACAAGGAAGAGATCTGGCAATTTGCTTCCATAAAGATTACAATCAGGAACATATGATGGAGCAGTTGTATGCTTTCATGTAGGACAATTCATTACCCAAAGCTGGGTTACTATGAGTTGCAATCAACTCAATGGCACCCAGTTCTAAGAACACCAAGGCACATATTCTGACCTCTTCCTGGGCAAGCTTTACGTCCGCCAATCTGTCAAATTTCCTCTAGAGTCATTCATATGATAAGACTGAAGGAACTCATTTTCTCTATATCCCTAGTCCATTCTTGCTACTATAAGCGAGCCAATCTAAAATTCTATAAAGAATAAGAGTGTTCTGTTGTAAAGATTTTTAAAAACAGGAAGAAAACTAGTTTTAAAAGCTCTGGGGAGCATAAACCAAAAACAACCATGTGGACACCATGGCTCCTGACAAGAATAAAAGCCTCTGAGAAGTATTATAAAAGGTAGGATGTCCAAGTCAACTTTTAGTGGTTACGATTCACAGTAAGCCATTAGAAAGACTCCCTGAACCACTCATCTATTCAGAGGGAAGACTTAATGAGTCGTTTTGCCAGCCACAGTCCTCAAGAAAATCTCTCTCCATGGTGTGAGGATTTCATTTGGAAGCAGAAACGGAGAAAAGGTGAGCTGCAAAGTTTTGTCTTTCAGCCACTGACTCAAAATAAAGGCCCCGTCACGTCCCTCCTTAGCTGACCCACAAAGATGGGCCAAGAAGAAAAAAAAACTTGTCCAAATGACTAATACCAGCTCACAAACCAGTCTGCCTCTGATACAGAAACCACTTAAATGAACAGCGACATGAAAAACACTTCTTGGAGAAACTCACTACCCAAAAACAAATTATAAGTGATTTATGGAGAAGATATAAAAATTCTGTTTCAAAATGCAGGCTTCAGTCTAAATCCTTAATTGTCCAAGTGGAGAGGCAAATTTAGAAAGTGGAAGATGGAAAGCTACAAAAAGTACCTCTCTGTAACACAGAACTCACAAAGCACTGCTATCCATGTACATCTGACATGCTATTCCACCACTGGCACGTACTGTATGTAGGATGACTCATCTGTGCAGTTAATGCCCACCTGCTTTCTGCTTTTCCAGCGCAGCTTCAAGATGAGACAGTTCTTTCTGTAAAGTTTCCTTCTCTCCTTCCATCTGTTTACAGGATTTCATCAACAATTTTATTTTCCCGTTGGTATGTTCATTTTCCTTCTTTAATTGATCTATATATTTTAGATTGTCCAGCTACCAAAAAAAAGGTGATTCCATTTAAAGCCTTGAAATTATTGATAAGCATACAGCAAAGTAATTACAAAGGATCATTAAAAACATAAAAACCTAAAACATTTTGTAATGATACAAAAAAATTAAATTTTCCAAGTCCACCCATAAACATGTTTTGGTCACACCCTTTCTTAGTATTAACACGTTACAGTTACTAAAATATGCCCTCTAAGTAATCTGCAAGGTCTATGCTTACCAATGTGAAATACAGCAGACAGGGTGAATATTTTCAAAAACATATTCTTCATGGGCCAAAAGTTTTCAGCAAAAAGATTTTTTTTATTCCCATTTTTAATCTTGTGCTATACATTTTACAACAGAACTAAGACCAAAATGCAAAATCCCATTCCTGTCAGGTGGTTTTCAGCACACAGCAATACTCAATCAGGATTTTGTGTTTTGTTGTTTTTGGGGTTTAAGTTTTTTTAAATGTTCTACTAGTTTATTTACAAAATTCTAATACATTCTTTTCAAGAACAAATTCTTTCCATTTCCCTCACTCCCCCACCCAGCAAATTGTACAACCTGATGATTAATCTCCCCCCTTCCCCTGCACATCCTCATCCCTCTGCTTCCAGCCTCTCTGACTGAGTTAGTTCACTCAGCATAACGCTCTCCAGCCCCTCATAAGTTAGGTAATAATTTGCAAAACCATTGCTTCTGCGTGCTGCATAGTGTTCCACTGTGTGAATATGCCATAATTTCTCATTCCATTCATTTATGGTTGGAAATTATGGTTTCCATGCTCTTGCGATGGGAGAAAATGCTGCTATGAAAAGAAAACCTAGAGACTGGGAACAAACATTTGGTAATACCATCTCAGACAAGAATCTCCTAACAAGTTTCCAGAATACTGTTGGGCCTCCACAAGAAAGACTGATAACCCAATTACAAAATGGACAAAAAGCATGCAAAGAATTTTCAGAGTAAGATATTCAAATGGCAAATAGGAAGAAATGCTCCAAATCACTGGCAATAAGAGATACAAATGAAAACCATAATGAGGTACCACCTCATTCCATAACTGTGGCAAAGTTTAACAGGGCAGCAAGTAATAAATGTCGGAAAGGATGTGGCGAGAAAGGAACTCTTATACATTGTTGGTGGGACTATAAAACGATACAACCACTCCGCAAGCAGTTTGGTGCTTCCTCAAAAAGCTGAACACAGAAATTCTGTATGACCCAGCTATTACACAACTTGTAATATATACCCTGAGAAAAAGAGAACTGAAGCACAGATTTGTACACCAATGTTCAACCAGGTTTTTGAGGCTGTAAATCTTTGAGAGAAGAGATTGCCCATTTTCTCCTTTACAGAGAAGCTGGTAGATTTGACCTGATGACCGTTCAGTCATTACTCTTAAGAAATAAAAATCCTGGCAAACAAATTCAAATAAAAACCACAATGAGAAACCATGTCACTCCTGTACCGGTGGCAGCAAACAATCAATGCTGGAGAGGATGTGAGAAGGTGTGGTGTTGGTGGGATTGTAAAAGGGTAAAACCACTCCGGAAGGCAATCTGGCATTTCCTCAAAAAGCTGAATAAAGAAATTCCGTATGACCCATTTATTCCACTGTTAGGAATATACTCCCTCCGAGGAAAACAAAACTGAAACACTTACGGATATTTGTATACCGATGTCCACAGCAGCATTACTCACAATTACAAGAATATGGAAATGACTCAAATGTCCATCAACAAATGAATGCTTGAGAAATTGTGGTACATAAAACCGATAATGAAATACAATAGCACTCAGGAGAAACGATTTAGAAAAATACTACATAACATGGGAGAGGCTAGAGATCATTATACTGAGTGAACTAACACAGACTTATAAGGACAACTACTGCATAAGACCATTATTGTAAAATTAGAAGGATAACAAGTAAGACATATGTGTACATCCAAAAAGGAAAGTGGAGGATGTGGATGGATGAGAGGAAATCAAGAGGTCCTAAGAGTCTGATGGATAGAGAGGATAAAGGAATTAGGAAAGATCCAGTGGGGCTCTGAAAAGACAGGGTAATAGTGGGCATAGATCAATGGTGATTAATTTTATAAGACACAATGTATGGGAATGACTGCAAGAAACACATCATGAATGAGGAAAAAAAATTTCAAAATAAATTGTTTTAAAAAACACAAGAAACTAAAGCAACTAAGAATTTTGGAGAAAGAATTATGAACATAAGATCAAATTATTAAAAAATCTAAAAAGACCCCCAAAACACCATATTTATGATGCAACTAAATGTTACTGGATCTTATCTTTGCATGCTTCATTTTGAAATAATTTATCAGCTACCTAGCAGCAAATTTGTTCTTTTAGGCTCTCCTATTTCTAATGGTAGTAACTGCTGCTAAGATATCCACTTAACTAAATTTTTACAATGTTTTATCAACTAGAACTTCATTAAAATGAGATCTGAACAAATGCAATTCAATTAGTAATGTATATTTTAGACATGGTACGTAAGTGAAAAAGCATAATGGATAATGAATACAGAAGAACAAAGACTTATTAATGATTTGAATTAAGGTCAATTTGGCAAAGAACACTGTCAGAAGAATGAACACATTTGTCTGGGACAGAAAAAAAATGAGAAAGCTCTTTAAGAACAGGGTTGGAAAAAATTGGTCTCATGAACTTTTAGGCAGCTATCAGGAAAGGTCAGTCTCTGGAGTAGGGCATCATGCTTAATAAAGTTGAGGTTCACTGAGGAAAAAAGGAAACCTTTCAACGAAAAGGAATGACACAATAGCTGCAACAATAGCTCAAACACGGCAGTGACTGCTAAGAAAGACGCAGGCCTGGGCAGTGTTTTTTCTCTCTTGCACACATGTTCTCTATGAGTTGGATCTGACCTGGAAAGCAAATAGATGCTACCACATGGAACAGCCTGAAAACCATTATGCTCAGTGAAATAAGTCAGACACAAAAGGAGAAATACCGTAGGATCTCACCCATATGCAATACCTAGAGTGTGCAAATACATAGCGACGAAAGTAATTCTGCAGTTATCGAGGACTGAGGGAGAAGTGCTTCAGTGGTATGGAGCTTCTATGAAGGGTCATTAAAGTTTTGTAAAAAAGTAAGTGAAGCATGATGCTGAGTGAACTAAAAGTCTCATTAAGTACAAATACTATGTAAGACCATTATTCTACAAATAGAAGGATAACTATCAAAACATGTATAGGGAACTCAAAGGGAGGCGAGCAAGAAATGAGGATGGGAGGGGCGAAGTCACAGGGCTGCACAGTTTTGGTGGGTGGAAAAGGGGAAGGATCTAGGCGAAAAGACAGGGTAATGGTGTGAAAGGTCCAATGTAAATTAATTGAAACACAATGTGAATGAAGACTAGTGTGAAACACAATGTATACGAACTTTGTAAGCAAACCAATTAAAAAAAAAAGTGATGGTTTTAGATAGCAGAAGAGACACAGTTAATATCAATGAAACGGGACTCTGGTGGCCTAGTGGCAAGAAGCTGTGCTGCAATCCTGAAGACACGTGGTTTGCAAAAGAATCTACTCCCGTGCAATTAACTGCCTCTGAAAATCCACTGGAGGGTCCACTGTGAATTGGTTCTGACACTATGGTACACAACAACATCAAAGAAATGAACATGTAAGAACTGTTGAAATAGAAAATGTTTGGCTATGTGTGTTGTCATATCACATTTGTTATTAAAATGTATACTTTTGATATGTTTGAAAGCAGGAGTGGCATCTAATCCACTTCCTACACAACATGCCTCTGAAAACTATGAATTTTGAGAAATGACAATAGTTATAGAAAGGCTTCAGGTCTTTTGTTCATAGGGTCGCTATGAGTCATGTTTAACTCGATGGCAATAAATAACAACAACTATTACCTGTATGGAAACACTATAAATCATGGAAAAAATGAGAAATACCTTGGTTTTCTTCAATTCTTCTAAAATCTGATTGGTAGCCTTTAAAGTATTAGTGAGTTCCTCTTTACTGGACTTCAAAAGGTCCATCTCCAACTTCTGTGAGCCAAGACATTCCTCCTTGGAAGTCAATTTCTCTTGGTAAGTCTGGATCTCCATTTCATGCTAGAATAGAAAAATGTACTTTAGCCAGGAGACTCCACTCAAAATATTACAGGAAAAACAAAACCATTTCATGCAGCCTTTGCATCTCTTTTATTCTCCTGAAAGTTAAAACTGTACTAAAGATCTAAATAAGGTAGGGTTTGAAACATGGTGGATGACAAATTACCAACACAGCAGAGGAGCTTCTGGATGTCATCAGCTCAGCCTGGACAAGCGAATTTATATGAAAATGTGCAATGACCGAGAGCTCCAAGCAAGATTACATGCTCATGACTAACATTTAAATATGATATTGGGAGATCCGGCGCTGGCTGAAAATCGCCTGTGACTTCATCCATAGCCACTGGTG